ATTGTTTATCATATAGCTAGTTAATACTAAGAATTCTCTATATCATTTATTGTTTTTTCAACACTATATTTTGTTCAGTCCCTTGCCCCAAATAGATCCACCGCTATATTCAGCCCATAAGAATTTGGAATAATTGGCTCATGCATATTGCATATGAAATAATGGATTTGAAAGACAAATTGAGAACAAATTGTCATGTTTAGCCAAAAAGAAGTTGAAAATAATAAAAAAAAAAAGTTAAATTTAGATAATTTTTTTGGAGTTTAAAATTAAAAAACTTGTAATTAGTATTTGATATGATATTTTATATGAGAAAAATATATTTAATAAGATATTTTTTAAAAATTGAGTAGTAACAAAATCTCCAAAATTGCATAAATAATGGAGGAATTAATGGAGAAAATGAGCAAATAATGAAGAAATTAGTATGAGATTAAAACAAAGCACCATAAAAAGCTTAGCAATTCCAAATTTCTCAATTATTTTTCCAAAATGTTCTTTATTTTACCTTTTTTTTTTTGTATTTTTTCATGTTCTAAATATTTTGTTTATGTTACTCGCTCCGTCCCACATATAATGTCATACTTTCATTTTTGTACGTTTCACATATTATGTCATTTCTTTTTTTTTTTGGAAAGCATTATACATTTTAATCATATTTTAAATTTTATAATTTATTTTAAACACTAAAAATATATATCTAAATTCAATTAAATATCATGTATTTTGGAATAAAATAAAATTCCAATAAAATAAATATATGATATTTAATTATGCACATATGTTAATTTTTGTACAATTAATATCAACCATTAATGCAAAAATTTATTTAAAATGAAAGATATCGTACAAATATTACGTGCATAAATAAAGTTATAACAAATTTGGTAGCAAAATAAATAAATCGTGTCAATAAATGAAGTGTTATAATTAATATCTTCCGAGAAAAGAAATGATATAAAGATCTTGGCGAGAAAGAAAGACGTACAATCAAATACTTCAAGAATGAAAAACGACATCTAATGGAAAGAAAAGATTATAAAATCTTCCTATTGGCCAATCAGGACGCGCCACGTGGCATTATTCGAAAAGGAAGTCGAGGCCACCCCTCTCCTATAAATAGGGGTCATAGCTAATTTATTCGGCACACCGAAATCACATAGAGGATTCAAACAAAGGGATAAGTCTCTAGACTCTCTCTATATTGTTCTTCGTGTACTTCGAAGCGTTCTTCGTTGAAAGTCACTGATTTGGACAAATGATCCAATATTAGTTGATGAATCTATAGAGTTAACGTTTCTCGTCGTATGCCAAAGCCGTAGGAAGGATCAAATCTCCAAAAGCCGTTCAAAAATCTATCAAAGCCAAGGGAAAGCCTCAAAAGTTCCTCCCAAAGCTTCAAGATTTTCATCGCGTTTTTCATCAAAAGCACCAACCTGACTCTATTCGATCCAAAAGTCAAAGGGACACACCGCCAAAAGTATTATGGAGCACCAAGTCCACCTCCTTGAAGATAAAGGTCTCGGATCATCCAAAGAAGACATCAAATCCAAATCCGATGACCAAAAGGCCCACACAGAGACCAACATTCTCCAAAAGCCAGCAACGCCAAATCAAAGATCAAAGTCTCGAATTGTCCAAAAAAGACATCAAATCCAAAGCCAGCGATCAAATCATCCACACGGAGACCAAAGCCCTCCAAAAGCTGGCAAATCCAAACCAAAGATCAAAGGCTCGGATCGTCCAAAGAAATCAAATCCAAAGCCGACGATCAAATCTCCGCACGGATACCAAAGCCTTCCAAAGTACGACAAAGCCAAACTGGAGACCAAAGTCCTCCAAAGTTTGGCAAAGTCATCTACACAAAGATCAAAGTTTCCAGATCTATCAAAAGGAGTCTTAAACTCCAAAGTCAACGATCAACTTCGCCACACGGAGACTAAAGCCCTCCAAAAGCCGACAAAGCCAAACCAAAGACTGAATCCTTTCGGATCAAACAAGCCATCCATATCCAAGTAGGAAAACAAATCGACCCGAAAGAGAATCAAATGATCCATTTAGAGAATAGGACACATATTAAATTCAAATCAAATATAATTTTTACAAAATTTGTGTTTATTAAAAATAGCACAATTTTTTGTTTCATAGATTTTTGGCACACCAAGTGGGACCTATCTACCTTTCATCTCTCTTTCCGACAAACTTTCAACAACCTGGCTTCCTTCAAGATCAAAACCTTCAATATTGCATTGAAAGTTTCTGCTTAAGCCGTCGTCGCCGTCAAAGGAGTTGGCGTACCCATCGCGTCAAAAACCTTAAACACTTCGACAAATGCTGGAATCACAACACGAAGCATGGCCAAAACAGCATTGTTATTCTCCGAGGACAATCCTCCAAAAATCATAGAGCAAAGTCCACTATATAAAGAAGACGATAACTTCGAGAGTACTGCCGCACAATTTACCCCTCAACAAACTGCAAGTCATTTGACTGGATCAAATTTTGCTCAAGTAATGACTATCAACGCGTCAGATATTGAGGACCAGCTTGCCGCATTGGCCAAAATCATTGAAGGGATGTCTCGACACATGCAACAACAAGATGCCCTCATCGAAAAACTTCTCACAAAGATGGACAAACCTGAAGAAGCCAGCCATGCCATTGAAAAGCAACCATTCTCCCCGGCGGCCCAAAATAAAGCGAAAACATCCGCGGATCAACGCCATGGTAAAGAAAAAGTGGTGGAACCAAATCCATTTCAAGGATCCTCCAACTCCTTAATCTATATATCCTAACTTGACAAATACATCAAGGGGGCACTCATAAGAGAATTCGAAGGGAGTTCAAGGCCAACGCACACTTACGCCAAGCCTTAAACTGCAAGGATTGATGCCCTCAAAATTCCAATAGGCTATCAACCACCAAAGTTTCAACAATTTGATGGCAAAGGCAACCCAAAACAACATATAGTGCATTTTGTCGAGACATGCAACGATGCTAGAACATACGGAGACCTCCTAGTCAAACAATTTATGCAGTCACTAAAGGGCAATGCCTTCGACTAGTACATCGACTTAGATGCTAGTTCCATCGACAATTGGGAACAACTAAAGTACAAGTTCTTGAATCGGCTCTACAATACACAAAGAATCATTAGCACGACCAAACTTACCAACAACCTTCAATGGAAAGATGCGCTAGTAATTGACTACATCAACTTCTGGAGAAGTTTAAGTCTCAACTGCAAAGAAGGTCTTTCTGAGGCTTCCGACATAGAAATGTCCATTCAAGGAATGCAGTGGGGCTTGAAATACATTCTACAAGGGATCCGACCCCATGCTCTTGAAGAATTCACCACTCGTGCTCATGATATGAAATTGAGCATGATGTCTAGTGGAATATATAAACCGCCTACCCAAGATTTTTTAGACGATGAGAAATATAACACTTCAAATAGTGGGGGGAAATCATACCTTCAGCACTCCTGGAAACGAGGATAAACTTTCTGCAATCTCCTGGAAACGATAATTAACTTTCTACAATCTCTTGGAAATGAGGTTAAACTTTCTACAGCCTCCTAGAAACAAGGATAAAATTTCTACAATCTCTTGGAAACAAGGATAAACTTTCTACAATCTCTTCGAAATGAGGATAAACTTTCTACAACCTCCTAGAAATGAGGATAAACTTTCTGCAATTTTCTGAAAATGAGGATAAATTTTTTGCAATATCCTGAAAATGAGGATAAACTTTCTACAGCATCCAAGAAACGAGGATAAACTTGATAAACTTTCTACAACCTCCTAGAAACAAGGATAAATTTTCTCCAATCTCCTAGAAACGAAGTTAAACTTTCTATAAGTGATGAGGACGTCCAATCTTCAGCCATTCAAATGCCCGTGGGACCCATCACTCGAAGCCGAGCTCGTCAATTTAAAAAATCCGTCACTGCATTGATCAGACGATTTTTCATGGAGAATCAATTTAAGAATGATGCTTGGAGACCACTTAGCCCTCACCTGACGCTCCTTCAATGGGACCCGCAAGAATCCCAATTGAAAGATCAAGAGAATCGCTAATAATGGAAGGTTATCAAGGGAATCATCACTTATGGAGAGAATCACTAAATCATGGAAGTATATCAAGGGAATCATCACTTATTTCCTTTAATTATAAGTTTCCATATAGTATAATTCCATATCTAAAACTTTCCTAATTATTTATTTCCTTATATTTAGACTTACCTTTTGGTTTGTTTCCTTTATTATTTGTTGCCTTTTATTTTCCTCAAGGACCTCTATATAAGGTCCTTGCCTATCATTGTAATGCGAACCTTTTTTACATCTTGAATTGAATTTCACTTTTATATTTTCTAGTGTTAGGGAGTGATTTCCTCGCATTTAGAATCTCAAATCGGGTCTTTGGAGTGATTCCATCGGTTCGTGGCTTCTAATATTTTGCAGTGGGATTTAGCCTATTGTTTTTGTTTTACCTGTGGATTGATTTCAGGTCCGAGACTTATTCTCGTGGTTGGTTATCATCCATACTAATTCACATACTGATTTCAGAGCTAGTTGATACAATCTCTTGATTGATATCACGGTTCTTATTTGAAAAAAAAAGCAAAAAAAAAAAGTAAAAAAAAAAAAAAAAAAAAAAAAAAAAACGAAAAAAAGAGGCAAAAAAAAAAACGAAAAAAAAAGTTATTATCAAATATTTATATTTGTCATTTACTTCTAGTTCGCGAATCATCTTTTCTTTTATCAAAAAAAAAAAACAAAAAAAAAATCTATTTAGATTATTTGTCTTCTACCTTCATTATAAACTTATAATCTTTTGGTTTCCCTACTGTTTTGGATTTTTTGGCTATCGTCTTTGGGAGAATTCCATCGATTTGATTTGAGTTCTCTTTGCGAGACGGAGAGGTACATAAGGTGTGGAGTGATACACGAGAGTTCTAGTGAGGTTATTTTCTTTTTTTTTTCTTTCTTCTATTTCTAATGGCAGGGGGTGAAGGATCCAATTCTCAACAAGTTGATGTACAAGGTCTTCTCAACACCATTCTACAAGAGTTCAAAACTCTTCACCATTCTGGATTGGAGTTGATGAATAATAGGATGGATCAACTGGAAGAGAATCAACAAAAGTTACAAGAGAATATCCGACCGTTACCTGAAGCTCAGAGGCGAAATAATGTTCAACCGCATTTGAGGCCAAGACGCAACATCCAGCCCCCATCACCACACAACACTGACGAACCCGATGATGAGGAGTTTGGAGAAAATTGGGAACGACCTAAGCATCATAATAACCATCACCGACGGGATGAAGATGAGGCGATCAACTCAGTCAAGTTCCAAGTGCCACCGTTCCAAGAAAAATCCGACCCTGAAGCATTTTTGCAATGGGAGCGAAGGTTAGAACTAATCTTTGATGTTCAACAATTAACTGACCAACAAAAACTCCGTGTGGCCGTAATGGAGTTTTCAGATTATGCGCTTGCATGGTGGGACCAATTGAGCATCAACCGCCGCAGAAATAGGGAGGCTCCAGTGCGTACTTGGACAGAACTTCGTACACTCATGCGAAAGAGGTTTGTTCCCCCTCATTACCATTGTGAAGTATTGCGGAGATTGCAGAGTATACAACAAGGGTCGCGGTCAGTGGAGGAGTACTATAAGGAGGTTGAAACACTTCTTCTACAAGCCGATATCCATGAAGATCAGGAGCAAACGATGTCTAGATTCTCGAATGGACTTCAAAGGGATATTGCTGATGCGGTAGAGATGTACCAATACGTGGACCTTGAGGAGATGGTACACTTGGCCATAAAGTTGGAGAAGCAACTAAAATCAAAGCGGATGCAAGGTAATCAGTTTAAACTTTCTCCAACTGTAGGGTTTCCTAAAGCGCCGCTTCCAAAACATATCAACAAAGGAAAAGAGATAGCGGGAGTTGATTCGACGCGCCCTAAGCCGCCAACATATGCCCCCCCAAAGAACACCACCCGTAGCCGAGATGTGTTATGTTTCAAATGCCAAGGCCGAGGACATTTTGCGAATCAATGTCCAAACAAGCGTACTATGGTTCTTACGATCTCCGGTGAGTACGAATCCGAATCAGAAACTGAAGAGGTTAATGAGGCAAACTCCTACCACCAGGAAGCTGTAGAATCCATACCGGAGTCCAATTTGACGTTAGTCACTCTCCGAGCTCTTAGCACTCTTCCAAATGAGGTTGAAGACACCGAACAACGCGAAAATTTATTCCATGGAAGGTGTAAGATCGCGACTAAGGTATGTAGTCTTATAAAGATCGCGACTAAGGTATGTAGTCTTATAATTGACGGTGGTAGTTGTACTAATGTCATTAATGACCTCGCAGTGAAAAGACTTAATTTGAGGATAAATTTGCATCCAAGGCCTTACAAACTACAGTGGCTCAATAATTGCGGGGAAATCAACGTCACCAAACAAGTGTTGGTGGAAATTGAACTACAAGGTTACAAGGATGAGGTAAAATGCGATGTAGTTCCAATGCAAGCATGTCATATTTTGCTTGGGAGACCATGGCAATTTGACAAAGAAGTTGTACATGATGGCCGCCGTAATCGATATACTTTCACACATGCCGGACAGACCATAGTTCTAAAGCCGTTGAGTCCTCGAGAAGTAAATGAAGATAAAAAATACTTGTACAAGCAGTTTGCTAAAGCAAGAGAGAAAAGGAACCAAAGGAAAGACAACAAGATGGTGGGCTATGTCGCTGAATCAACTCTATGTGAGGAATCCAACTTGAAGCCCTTCTTAGAATCACCCGCAACAAAAGGTACTCCGCATACAAGTGCATCTACTCTTTCATATAGCCTAACTACCCCACAACCTTTCAAATCTTCATCCTCACCAATAAATACGTCTGCCCCGAGCCACTCTCAAATACTCTACCCTTCTACTAAAAAATCAAACACGAGTGTAGTGATTCAGGGTGAAACCAGCTGGAATCTTAAACACGAGAGTGAGAGGTCTAATCTTTTTATGTGTAGGAAGGAAGCTTTACGCTTAGAACATGGAGTTCATTGTCTGCTATTACTTTCTAAACCTTCTTATTTTTCCATGAATGACTCTAACAAACTTCCATCTAGTTTTTCTAACTTATTGCAGGCGTATGATGATGTTTTTCCTGATGAAGTACCCCATGGTTTACCACCCACTCGTGGAATTGCGCACCAAATTGATTTTGTCCCGGGAGCATCAATTCCTAATCGGCCAGCCTATCGAGCCAACCCGGATGAGGTAAAAGAAATACAAAGGCAAATGGAGGATCTACTGAGCAAAGGTTGGATTCGTGAAAGTCTAAGTCCTTGTGCTGTACCTGTCCTATTGGTGCCAAAAAAAAAAATGGAGGGTGGCGCATGTGTGTGGATTGCCGAGCCGTCAACACTATAACAGTTAAGTATCGTCATCCCATTCCTAGATTAGATGACATGCTTGATAATTTGTGTGGTTCTGTAATTTTTTCAAAAATTGATTTAAAAAGTGGCTATTACCAAATTCGGATGAATCAAGGTGATGAATGGAAAACTGCCTTCAAGACTTCTTTTGGTCTATGCCATTTGGACTTACTAATGCCCCAAGCACATTCATGCGATTGATGAATCATATTTTAAGGAATTTTATAAATAAGTTTGTGGTAGTATACTTTGATGACATACTTGTTTATAGTACTTCTATTAAAACACATGTTGAACATTTACAAGCAGTTTTAGATGTTTTACGGGCTGAGAAGTTATATGCTAACTTGAAAAAATGCGACTTTTGTGTCGACAAGTGCAACTTTTTGGGTTTTATTGTAGGAAAAGATAGAGTATGTGTAGATCCTGCGAAGGTTGCAGCCATCCAAGAGTGGCCTACACCTACTAGCGTACGTGATGTCCGCAATTTCCATGGCCTTGCAAGTTTCTACCGTCGATTTGTGCGGAACTTCAGCACTATTGCAGCACTCTTAACGGCAATTACCAAAAAAGAGGATAAGTTTGAGTGGGGAAGTGAACAACAAAATGCTTTTGATACTTTGAAATCGAAACTTACATGTGCACCCGTACTTGCTTTACCTGATTTCTCTAAACCGTTTGAACTTGATTGTGATGCCTCTGGTCTAGGTATTGGCGCCGTCCTCTCGCAAGAAAAGAAACCTGTTGCATTTTTCAGTGAAAAGATACATGGCGCTGTGTTGAATTACTCAACCTACGATAAGGAATTGTACTCCTTAGTGCGGGCGCTGCAAACATGGCAACATTACTTACGTCCTCGTGATTTTGTTGTGTACACTGATCATGAATCCCTCAAGCACATCAAATCCCAAAGTAAGTTGAGTACGAGACACATCCTATGGATCTCCTTCATTGACACCTTCCCCTATGTTGTTAAATACAAAAAGGGTAAGGAAAACATCGTTGCGGATGCATTGTCACGCAGGTATGCACTTGTTACCACACTTGAGTCTAAGCTATTAGGTTTTTCGTATTTAAAAGAATTATATGCAACTGACCCTGATTTCTCCGATATATTTGCCAAGTGTAATTCTCATGCATTTGAAAGGTATCATGTACGTGAGGGGTATTTGCTACGAGAAAATAAATTGTGCGTTCCTAAATGCTCCTTGAGAGATTTGTTGATTTGGGAAAGTCATTCGGGGGGTTTGATGGGACACTTTGGTAGGAACAAGACACTTAACTTGCTGCAGGAACATTTTTTTTGGCCACGAATGAAAGTCAAAGTTGAAGCCGCAATTCGTCGGTGTATAACGTGCCTCTCGTCGAAGTCTACTGTTCATCCACACGGTCTGTATACTCCGCTACCTATTCCTGAATCCCCTTGGGTTGATATTTCTATGGATTTCATATTAGGTTTGCCTAGGAGTAGGTCTGGTAAAGATTCAATATTTGTTGTGGTTGATCGATTTTCAAAAATGGCACATTTTATTCCATGCACAAAAACCACTGATGCTTCGCATGTTACTTCATTATTTTTCAAAGTGGTTCTTAGATTGCATGGTGTTCCAAGATCCATTGTTTCTGATAGGGATTCTCGATTTTTAAGTTATTTTTTGAAAACACTTTGGGCTAAATTAGGTACAAAACTAATGTTTTCCACATCACACCACCCTCAAACTGATGGTCAAACAGAAGTTGTTAATCGAACTGTGGGTAGCTTGTTACGTGCCTTAGTTAATGAGAATTTGAAGAGTTGGGAAGAATGTTTAGCTCATGCTGAATTTGCATATAACCGTACGGTTCATAGCTCTACGAATTGTTCTCCATTTGAGGTTGTTTACGGTTTTAACCCATTAACTCCTCTTGATCTTATGTCATTGCCACGCAATGAGCACGTTAGTTTGGATGGCAGAAAAAGGGCTGAATTTGTACAACAACTTCATTCTCAAGTTCGGGATAACCTAAGAAAAGCAGCTGACAATCACACAAAATAAGCTAACCGTGGGCGCAAGAAAGTTGTTTTTGAGATAGGAGATTGGGTTTGGCTACACTTAAGGAAGGAAAGATTTCCAGAATTGCGAAAGTCAAAACTTACTCCCCGTGGCGATGGACCTTTTCGAGTGTTGGAACGCATTAATGATAATGCCTACAAACTTGAACTCCCAAGTGAGTACCAAGTCCATGCTACTTTTAATGTTTCTGACTTAAACCTTTTTGATATAGCGGATGAATATCTTGTTCGGGAGAACAAGAAAGCTTTTCAAGAATGAGGGAATGACGAGGACGTCCAATCTTCAACCATTCAAATGCCCGTGGGACCCATCACTCGAAGCCGAGCTCGTCAATTTAAAAAATCCGTCACTGCATTGATCAGACGATTTTTCATGGAGAATCAATTTAAGGATAATGCTTAGAGACCACTTAACCCTCACCTGACGCTCATTCAATGGGACCCGCAAGAATCCCAATTGAAAGATTAAGAGAATCGCTAATAATGGAAGGTTATCAAGGGAATCATCACTTATGGAGAGAATCACTAATCATGGAAGTATATCAAGAGAATCCTCACTTATGGAGAGAATCACTAATCATAGAAGTATATCAAGGGAATCATCACTTATGGAGAGAATCACTAAATCATGAAAGTATATCAAGGGAATCATCACTTATTTCCTTTTATTATAAGTTTCCATATAGTATAATTCCATATCTAAAACTTCCCTAATTATTTATTTCCTTATAGTTAGACTTACCTTTTGGTTTGTTTCCTTTATTATTTGTTGCCTTTTATTTTCCTCAAGGACCTCTATATAAGGTCCTTGCCTATCATTGTAATGCGAACCTTTTTTACATCTTGAATTGAATTTCACTCTTATATTTTCTATTGTTAGGGAGTGATTTCTTCGCATTTAGAATCTCAAATCGGGTCTTTGGAGTGATTCCATCGGTTCGTGGCTTCCAATATTTTGCAGTGGGATTTAGCCTATTGTTTTTGTTTTACCTGTGGATTGATTTCAGGTCCGAGACTTATTCTCATGGTTGGTTATCATCCATACTAATTCACATTCTCTGCACTATCATTCTTCTTCATTCTCTTTTCTTTTATACATATTTTTAATCCATTTGTTCTATTGAACTTTGTGGGTAAGAAAATTATGTTGGTTATAATTATACGCAGCCGGGCCGTGTCATAGACTCCTTAATACAAGAATAAATTATTTAACAAAAACAAAAAAATTCAATTTGTTTTTAACTACGTTATGACTTGATTCCTTCACCGAATATGTAGGCAACTTGGAATATAACTCCGAGTTCAATCAATTGTGTAAAAAAAAACCCTAAAAAATAAATTGGGCAAAGAAAGAGAAAAGCCCTAAAAGATAAATTGGGAAAAAAGATGTCCCAAAAAATTCAGGTTTAAAAAAATCATTTGGACAAAAAAACCTTGTCCGAAAAAGAAAAAAAAAAACCTCTTCGAAAAAAACATTGGCTAAAAAAAATTCAAAAAAATGATAGCTATGAAAAAAATAATTTCAGTCAAAAAATAATTTGACTTATGTTTTAAGACTCATTCACGCCTTAAACGTTTTGCGTCGGCTTAAACAAGCCTTGAGAAGGCATTTTGTAGACACTAAAAATATATGTCTAAATTCAATTAAATATCATGTATTTGAAATAAAATAAAATTTCAAGAAAGTAAATATATGATATTTTATTATGCACATATGTTAATTTTTGTACAATAAATATCAATCATTAATTTAAAAATCTGCTTAAAATGATATAAAGATCTTGACGAGAAAGGAAGGCGCACAATCAAATTCTTCAATAATGGAAAACTATATCAGATGGAAGATGAAAAATTATAAAATCTTACTATTGGTCAATTTGGACGTGCCACGTGACATCATTTAAAAAGGAAGCCGATGTCACCCCTCTCATACAAATAGGGGTCATGGCTAATTCATTCGGCACACCGAAGTTATATCGAGGATTCTAGCAAAGGGGTAAGTCTCTAGACTCTCTCTGTATTGTTCTTCATGTTTTTCGTGTCCTTCGAAGCATTTTTTGTCGAAAGTCACTAATTTGGATAAATGATTCAATATTGTTAACGAATCGATGAAGTTAACGTTCCTCGTCGTATGCCCAAGCCGGAGAGAAGATCAAAACTCTAAAAGTTGTTGAAGAATCCATCAAAGCTAAGGAAGATCATCCAAAGTTCATCCCAAACCTTCAAGGTGTTCGTCGCGTTCTTCACCAAGCATCAACTCGGCCCTCTTCGATCCAAAAGTCAAAGGAACAAACCGTCAAAAGTGTTACGGAGCACCAAATCCCCCACCTCAAAAATCAAAGCCTCGGATCGTCCAAAGAAAACACCAAATCCAAAGCCGACGATCAAATCACCCACACGGAGGCCAAAGCCCTCTAAAAGTCAGCAAAGTCAAACCAAAGATCAAAGCCTCGAATAGTCCAAAGAAGACACCAAAGCCAAAGCAGATGATCAAATCGCCCACACGGAGGCCAAAGCCCTCTAAAAGTCAGCAAAGTCAAACCAAAGATCAAAGTCTCGGATAGTCCAAAGAAGACACCAAAGCCAAAGCAGAAGATCAAATCGCCCACATAGAGAACAAATCCCTCCAAAGTCCAGCAAAGTCAAATCAAATATCAAAGCCTCCGATCGTCCAAAGAAGACATCAAATCCAAAGTCGACGATCAAATGGTCCACACGGAGACCAAAGCCCTCCAAAAGTCGACAAAGCTAAACCAAATATCAAAGTCTCGGATCGTCTAAAGAAGACATCAAATCCAAAGCTGACGATCAAATCGCCTACACAGAGACCAAAGCCCTCCAAAAGCTGGCAAAGCCAAATCGAAGACCAAATCTCTTCGGATCAAAGAAGCCATTCAAAACCAAGTAGAAAAATAAATCGACCCAGAAAGAAAATCAAATGACTCATTTAGAGAATATGGTCCGCTTTAAATCCAAATTAAATATAATTTGTACAAATTTTGTGGTTATTAAATATAACACAATTTTTTGTATACATTTATAATTTTAAAATTTTTTAGTATACTAATTAGTTATTTTAACTTTAATTTATAATTATTTGTATTATATTGTAATTAATTTTACTAATATGTTTAAAATTATTTACTAATCATATTCCTCTTAAATTCTCGTGTCTACAGTAACACTGACATAATACCTGATACGAGGGAGAGTATTTCATTAGTCTTCATTTGAATTATTATTTTTCTGAGTTTATTTATGTATTTATTACTGTAATTTTTATTCTTTCAACCTATTAAAAAATGTAGAAGATCGTATGTCTAGAAAACTTGTTTGAAATAGCTTGAAAATTCCACTTTCACATCATTCTGGCCAGTCCAACATTCTAGTAGACCGCTGAAGGATAATTTTTTTACGACAACAGTTTCATAATATAACTATGTTTTCTTAAATTTATAAATATCTTTTAAATAATCTAAAGTCTCGTGATTTTTAACGGTATGCGTTTATGTACATTATTTAGGCTCCATTTGGAGATAAATTTTAAAAGTTTTAGCAGTTTTAAAATAGTTGTGGATTCTGTGTTAATCTGACCAAGTTAGTATGAAGCTGATTTGATCAAATCAGCATATGTCATACACATAACAAATATATATATTTACACATAATACAATATATATTAAGTTATAATATAACATATGTTGAATTATAATACTTCCTCCATCCCACATACCGTGTCTGCTACACTGTAGACACGGTATTTTAGGAATGGTGTAATTAGTAGATAATTAAGAATGTATTAGTGAAAATAATTATCCTATAATATAAATAATTATAAATTAAGATTAAGATAACTAATTAGTTTAATTAAAATTTAAAAAATTAATTAAAAAATTTAAATGAGATTAAAGTGTGTAATCATTTTTCAAAAAAGGAAAGTGACATGAAATGTGGGACGGACAGAAACGGCAACGTGGACATGGTATGTGGGACGGAGGGAGTATAATATATGTTGATTATCTGTAATCGGATCGGCACTTGATCCAAACCATTTTAAAATATTCTGAAATAGTAAAAATCTTTGATATTTGAGATGTGATTCAATGAAAGAAAATTATTAATTTGATATTTTTAAAAAATATTATTGGTAAGTAGACTAGTTTTTTAAAAAATATTTACATAATCATAGTTTTAATAATTGATTATTTAATACTTTTAGAATTAAAAGTATTTTAAAATGTTTAATATATTTCAAGAGTTTTAATCATATCATACGGTAAAAAATTAGCAAAAATGATTTAATTGATTGTATTTTGGTCTGTAGCGTTTTGTTTAAAGAAATAATATAAAGATTGAATTAAATAATTTGTTTGAAGTGATATGAATAAATTCTTAATGTATATTTTGAATGGAAAAATATTATATATTTTATATTAAAAGGTTTTTGAAATTAGAAATTAATCAAACCCAAAAGCAAGATTACTACTAATTAATCAAAATTAAACAACCACAAGAATAACAAAAAAAGAGAACTCCCTGACAAACAAAGTGAAGATCGACGATGGCGTCCACACCTAGCAGCAGTGGTTCCCTTCTCCGACGGACAAACCCAGGCGGTAGCGCGGCAGCAAGACAACAGCGGGAACGACAGCAATTCCGGCTACTTCCTCTGGAGACTCCCAAGTGACTCAACAAGAACGATTTAGAGAAACTATTGGACGGCTAGTCTACAACTTCTCTAGTTTTTGAATTGACTAATTTAGGGACTAATCCAATCGCCTCTAACAAAACCCCAAACCGACGAAGTCCTACCTTTTGGAACCCTAAGTTGACTAATCAACGCACTGATTTTAACCTCTCGAGCACTAAGAACACACAAAAGTACGAACTCACCGGAAAGCCGAAAACGGGAACGGTTGAGACTCACATAACAGAAAACCCCCAGTGAGAATCACCCTAAGAGAGAACAAACGCATATCGAATTGACTTGAGAAAAGGAAAGATAGGGTTTTAACTCAGTGCGGACCAAGCAAGTCGGATCTGGGTTACAGGGCTTTGGGTTGCGGATCAGATTTTGGGCCAAATTTTAAAATTCTCCATCAATTTAGCCATGTCATCACCGAGGGTTGCTCCTGTAGGGATGCATCACAACCAAGTGACCCTTCTCGCCAAGTCGAGTCGTATAAGAATTGCCCGGGAATATTTACCAATACACAATGAACCTACACTCACAACATACGTTCAGTATACCTTGTACTCATAAGCAAACATTAGTCTTGAAAGAACTAATAGCTCATTCAAAAAATGGACAACTTAACGTAAAAATAGGCAACATGCGAACTCCACCTAAGAAAGTAATCACAAAGTTTATACACGACATGACACCGCTAAGAAAAACATCTGAACACTTATACTAAATGATTCTATCACATTCTTGAACACTCATAAACACAAATACAAGCATATATCACACTAAGAAATTCAACATCGACCAAAAAGAAGCTAAGAATATAGGTTTGCACACATTATCACAAAGAGAAATAGTTATATCACAAAGCCTAAGCAAACACTATCACAAAGCTTAGCAGACTAATATGCAATTAGACAAACACTCAAATATTCCCGGGAAACTAACAACCTAGATTATTCACTTAGTCTAGGAAATACAAACACAAAGCACAAAGACAACAAATAATCAAAATAAAATCACAATGGAAGAATCAATTTACTCCACCTAGCAATAAAAATACATATTATCAATCATATGAAAACATGTATCGACTATTCCCAAGAGATCAACAAATAAAACAAAAAATATTAAACACACACAACTAAAAACAACAAACAACCAGGAATGCTAAAGTGTTTTTTTATTTTTTTCGCACAAGAAGAAACAAGCAACATTGGTTTATTAAAAAAAAAATTGCACAAGATTTTACACAAAACAGAATTTCAACACCTGTTTTAACAAGAAAAAAAGCAAAAATGCCAAATTTTAAAAGAGTTATTATTTCACAAATATTCGCATACTAAAGCAAGTAAAGAACAATCAAAACTCAATCAATATACATCACCTAAAGATTGACTACACAAAACCATATTTGATTAATCATTGGACTCAATTATTTGATTTGTATTATTTACTTGACCTTTCATATTTACATTAGGACACTCTTTAATATAATGATCTACTTCATCACAACCAAGCATTTTCTAAGCAATGACTTATAATTTTTTCTTTGTTTTTCTTTTTATTATTATTTGATAATTGATTATCTTTATTGTTATTGTTTTGGTTATTCATATTGAAAGTTCTACCTTTTCCATGCATAACTTTGCCACTTGAGTTTTCAATTGATTTATTAGCTAATAAATCTAATTCCTTGTTTTTTATTACTATATCTAAAGTAATGTTATCTCTTTCATATTTAATTGCGGATTTAACATCACTATAGGAATCGGAAATGACATTCAAAAGCACAATCGGAGAATATTCATCAATATATTGATCTTTACTCAATTTTATATCTTGAATTAGTTTAGTAAAGATATCTATATTGTCATCAACACTCTTCTTAGTCTCTAGTTTGAATTGGAAAAAATTTTCAAGCAAGAAAAACTTATTTGACAAAGATACTTACGTGTACAATACATCTAACCTATCAAACAATTGTTTTACACTAAAAAAACTTACCTACTATCCTAAGCACATTATTAGTTAAATATAACACAATAAACACACATGCACACTAATCCATATCAACACGATTTTTAAGAGGTGTATCATCATCAAAAGTACCATTTATTTCTCGAAAAAGTTTTTGAGTAATTAAAATACTTTTAATTCTTTGTTTCCAAATAGTAAAATCTTTTTCCCATTAAACGGATGTATATTAAAAAAATACACATAGGAGCAATTATTTAAAAGAAAATATTTGCCCACAAAACAAATCACTCAAAAAACACAATCCAAGCAATTAATTATCAATTAAGTACAACATTTACAACAACAACAAACTAGGGCCTCAAAGAAAACAAGATTCTCAATATCACACAATCAATCTCTGCAATCGAAAGGTTCACAAAATAAAAAAATCCAATCTACAAACAGCATATTCATCAAAAAAAAAAAAAAGCTTTAACCTTTTACCAAAATCGATTTATTACCAACGATCGATTTACTCGAAGATGTTGTCCGTACTCGATGCTTTGACAAATTTTGGCTCTGATACCACTGGTCTTTTTATTAATATGTCAAACAACAAAACCATCAACTAAAATGTGCTTCCAAAGTTAATATCTAACAAACTAAAAGGTTCTTGAAATTAGAAATTAATCAAAGCCAAAATTAAGATTAATACTACTTAATCAAAAACAAACAACCACAAGAATATTAAAAGGATAGCACTCCCTGACTGAACGAAGTGAAGATCAATGATGACGTCCACACTTAGCAGCACCAGTTCCCTTCTCTGACGGAAAACCCAGGCGGTGGCGCGGCGGTAAGGCAACAACGGACAACGGTGGGAACAACAACAACTCCGGCGACTTCCTCTGGAGACTCCCAAGCGACTCCACAAAAATAATTTGAAGAAACTATTTGACAACTCAGTCTAAAGCCTCTCTAGTTTGTGAATTGACTAACTTAAGGACTAATTCAATCGCCTCCAACAAAAGCCCAAACTAACAAAGTCCTACCTATCGGAACCCTAAATCAACTAATGGATGAACCAATTTTAATCTCTCGAATGCTAAGAACACGCAAAAGAACGAACTCACCGGAAAGCTGAAAACGGGAACGGTTTAAACTCACAGAACAGAAAACCCTCAGAGTTAATTGCCCCAAGAGTGAACACACGCAGATTGAACTGACAGAAGAGAAGAGGTAAGATGGGGTTTTAACTCGGTGCGGGCCAAGCGGATCAAATCCGGATTACAGGGCTTCGAGTTGCGGATCGGGTTTTGGGCCAAATATCAACAATATATAATATATATAATGTAACATAATATTTAGAAAGAAAAACATAAATTATTATAGGTACATATGCAAAATAAAATGTAGAAAACACAACAAATATATAGGCACATACTAGATATAAGGCATGTAAAGTCTATATAAGGCATGTCGAACAACAAGTATTCAATATTGTCGCATGAATTATAATTTTTCGTAAATTTTACACCGCGAAAATTACAACAGAATATTTTCTAACTTATTAAGGGCATTTGGGATCACCCTTAGAATTTTTCATGTCTCTGTAACACGGACACTCATCTTTATTCCCAGAAGTTCCCGGGGGCACACAGTGGCACTTTTTGCAGCAAATGCCGCAATATTTGAGGCACCGATCCATCCGCCCCGCCTTCGAGCACCTCTCCCCGCACTTGTTATCGCAATAACTGTCTGTCTCTGCCGCCGCCGCCGTCATCCAAACTAGGAGAAATACTATTCCTACAATTGCCAATCTCTTCCCCATTCTCGTGACTCAAATAATATAGTTTTCTATTTCTATCTATCTCTTTTGCTCGATTGATCTGTAATATATATAGAGAGAGATATGTGTGTATATATATATATAGAGAGAGAGAGAGAGGAAGGTTGCTTTGCGTGGAATTAATTAATTGGGAGAAGAAAAACAGCAGAAATATTTGATCGCCTACAAAACCTGGGCTTTAGACATGTCACATGTGTTCCCTTAGACTTGTTCTTCATGTCAAGCAACCCTGCATATTCTAAGCAACCTTAATTATGTTTGTTTGTTTTTAAATAATAAGAATTCTTAATTTAAATAATTGTTTGATAGTTTTTAAATAATAAGAATTCTAAATTTAAATAATTGTTTGATATAATATAAATTGAATAAAAATATTATTTTCAGTGTAATGTATAAAAAAATATTTAATTTGATATTATTAAAAAAAAAATTGACAAATACTAACCCCACCAAATACAGTATCGGTGGTTTTATTTTTTTTAACCCTAAACCCTAAAATAAACGCAACTTTTTCCAACTAATTAAATTAACATTTTCTTAGGGTTTGTTTAGTTTTATTTGATTTTGAATTATTTTTATTTAAATTTTGATTTAAATAATATTTTGTAAAAAAATATATATTTTATTAAAAATTGCTACTCAATAGTATTAATTTTGGCTTGAAATTGAAACAAAACACACCCTTATATTTTTACACAATTCTCTTTAACTAATAATAAAAATACTAAATGTGTGTTTTGTTAAAAAAAAATAATAATAAAAAAAAATAAAATAAAATTCTATGTATATACTTATTTTGTTATATTTTTAGATAAAATAGTTCCTTTTTTTTTTAAGATAAAAGAATTCTTTGAATGAGAAATATGTGAATGTAATTAATGTTTTTTCTTTAAGAAAATTGTGATATTAAATAATAATAAAAAAATAAACTAAATAAAAAAAACTATAAGTAAGATTTTCGTTTTAAATTTTATTTCAATTTTATAACATCTAACCATCAGGATTTTCTATGAAAATATATAATACTTCATCCGTCCAGTTAAAAAGTATATATATTTTTATTTTGGGATGCGTAAATATTTCATTAAATACATCACTTTTTTCCATAAATACTCATATTTTACCTCACATCATTACTTTTACACCAAAAAGTAAGGGTAAAAATGTCATTATATTACACTTAACTATCCACTATAATTAAAATACTATTATTTATTAAACACTGTGTCAAAAGTAATTGTATATTTTATGTATGGACGGAGAGAGTATTTCATCTTCCAAGTAAAGAAACTCATTTTATTATTTTATTTTCGTCTATTTTACCGTATGTTTTTCACTTGCTTCTAATCATTGTTTTGTGTATCATCATCATCATTGATTCAAATATTAACAACAAATTCTTTGAAGGAAATAAAACACTAGTATTTATCTTTTTATTTTATTTATTTATTTGATATTTTTCAATTTTTATTTGCAACAATTTTTTGGGGAAATTTTTTAGTTGTATATATTAAAAGTGAACTTAGAAGCTTATAAACTAAGTACAAGTGGATATAGACATGTAACAAGTGAGTATCTAATTTAGAAATTATTAACAATACCTCTTTTTTTCGAGTCAAGGTATCTATTTTGTCATGCAAAATCAAAAGTATTCGTTTTTCTTTTTTAGTAAAAATATCTTTCAATTAAATACCAAAATACTAATTATTTTGTTGTCTTTATTCTTTTAATCACGCTAATATTAAGGATAAAATAAATTTTACCCTACATATTCATAAAATACTAATATATTTAAATTCACATGCAAAAATCAAATGAATACATTTGACTAGGACATAGAAGTATTATATTAACATATATTACAAGTGGACCCAACACAACTCATATTTTATTGACACGATTTTCAATATATATAATATATATTATATTTTTCACAAAAAATTAATATTCAATACAAAATATTATTTTTATATTATCAACATAATATTTCACACCTCATATCAATAAATACTTCAACCTAAAACCACTAAAGAAACAATCCTTGAAAGATATTAGAAATTTGATAAATATTATAAAAATGTAATTAGCAAATTAATTAACAAAAATTTTAGATCGGAATACCCACATTTAAGAGCAGGATAAATTTTTTAAAAAATAAAAATAAAATAAAAATAAATACTTTTTCAATTTTATTTCTTTTCACTTCTCATGAGAGAAAAATAAAAGTAGATGTCCAGTAAGGGATGACCTGAACTTGTGACTGTGAGGTAATGGGTTCAAACTCTTGACGCCTCAAGTCATCTGCCACACATGCTTCGCCTAATATGATTTTCCCGTTGAGCCTGGTTTGGAGGGTATTAGGTTCGGTCTGGGACCGAGTTCCCAAGTCATAAAAAAAAAATAATAAAACTAGAGAATATAAAAATTTAATTTCTTAAACTTCAATTTCCTGTCTCAACAAAACAAAAAAATGGAGATATTTTTATTTATTTATTCTCATTTTTTTTTGTATCAAACACATTTTACAAGAAAATTATCGAAATTCTCCGCAAACAGATTAAATGGATTCCTATATGGTTTAGAACAACATTATTGACGGTGAAAATGTGTTTTATTGTGAGAAATTTTGGATTTTGTATATATTAAATGTGAGATTGCCAAACAATTTATAAGTAAATGTACAAAGTAGATATACATAAAATTAAATAAGCAATATCTGATCAATATTATTTTGTCATATATTAATATTATTATTTAAAGTACTTGACCAATATATATAGTCTTGGAGTGAAGAAAAATACATGCATACACCATCTCTTAGAAGTCTCAAGAAGAATACATATACATTTGTATATGTATGTACAAAACCAACACACATACATTTTTTTTTGTTTTTATTATTATTATTATTATTATTGTATTTTATGTTTGAGTTTTGACTTAAATAATTATTTGATATAATATTTTTTTAAAAAAATATACATTTATTGGAAAAAAACATGGTAATTGAATGGAGTATTTGAATAGTTAAAATTTGAAAATAAACCCAAATCTTCATGTAACTTAGTGATAATTTTTTGCAAGGGTTTGGGAAGTGTTTTTTAAGGTTTTTGAAGCAATATTTGATAGATATAAAATGTAATGTGATATTATTATTTTAGTATTGTTGGTATATTTGCATATATAACTTTTGATTGTTAATTATTATGATATGATTTCCATAAGTTCCATTCAAATTTATATATTTTGATGTTATTTACACCAGATAACTTAAAATAAATAAAAGACGGAATAAATTTAGATTCAATATCCTCTTTGAGATGTAGGTATACTATTCTTCACTGCGCATCTGCAATAATATTTTACGGAGTAAAATGAATAGTATGAAACAAAAATTGAAAACATAAATTAACAAAAAGCACTATTTTGGTGATCACTTTTATTTATTTACACTACAATACTTCCTTGAATAGAAATAGACGACGACTTCGATGAAAAAGAAGGGTTCAATAATGAATGGCGTCGAAAGTTGTGGACGTCGTTCGACAAAAAATTGAACATAAAGGATGAGTGAAGTAAAGCTACCACATGGCTTGGCTCTCATCATGCCCTACAAAACATCTCAATCCCATCCCCACATATCTTTTATTGCTTATACTTTTTATCCCTACCTCGATCTCGACTTTATCATTTATTTTATAATATATTGTATCTTATAATATGTAATTTATGAAAAAAAAAAGAAAAAAAAAAAGAAAAGTTTACTCATTTTCTAATCGATTAAACAATTGTATGAAATTTATTTGTATTTAGTATACGATATACATTGAATCCTCATCAATTAAAATTTATTAGAAAATATGTCTTATATGTTAGGACTGTAATAGAGATTGACGCGCCAAACTTGCATTTTTAATTGTAATAGTAATAGCATTTGGAATATTTTTCCTTAAATTTGAACTAATTAATGGGGAGTATTGGGTAGAGTTTTGTAAAATATCAATAGATCTGGTAATTTTCAAATCACGCAAAATTAATTATTTCGATTCTATATTTTCTGGAAAAAATATACTATAATAAATAACATTTTTTATATATATTTGGTAAAATTTATTAATTTAACATATACTTAACAAATATAAATCAACGTAATTAACTTTATAACATATAATATCATACATCATGTATGATCATAAAAATTTTTATATTTCTAACTCTTCTAAAAAAATAAATATATTTTTTTATATTTATAATTCACTATCTTTTATGAAATTAGTTTATATTAATTATAAATAAATTAATCATTTTTATATTTATTTTTATAATATAAATTTTTATTATCTATAAAATAATATTTATATTCTATGTAGTATATTTTATTGAAATATAACTTTTAAAATATTTAATACACATTATAAATTTATTTTAATTATATATTAATTTTTATTTTAAAATTACTAACAAAATTATATATATAAAAAAATTAATAAAATAATATCATAAATTATTATTATTAACTAATTAAATAATATCACTTTAAGGTGAATACTTTACTTATTATTATTATTATTATTTTCTTTTACAAAATATTTCATCGAATATTATTTTAATATTAAATGCAAATAATTTAGTCTAAAATCATCAAATGTAACACCCTATCAAATATAATAAAAAGTATATATAATAAAAAAAAACATATTGAATTGTTTGTAGGTCAAAACAATTCTAGGCTAGTTTTGGACACATGTCGGTCCAAGTCTTATATATACATATTTATATATATATATATATATATGTTGGTTTGCATGGTAAGTGAGTCAGTCCCCCACCACATCAATGCCCATGACGTATCATGTGGGGCCTTGGAGTCACCCGGCTCCGGAAATATATATATTTTTAGTTTAAAAAGATAATAAAATTATGTATTTTTAATAATTTTGCTTCCCTTATTTTTTAATTTTTATTTTTATTTTATATAAAAAAATAAAAATAATTAAATAATTTTATTGATTT